TCATATGTAGCCATTGGAAAATAGCTGACAAGACAACATATGTCTAAAAAAACAGTATACGTTAATAAAAAAATGAAGTGTGCAATCATAACACGAGCTAACTTGCTTGATTTATGATATCGGAAGATATGGACATGATGTCGCTATTGCCAGTGCTTTGGACAAGGACTGCTGTCGTAGCTGTGGGCAGGAGATTTACGAGGTCACTCTACACTGGACATCAAATAAAATTTCACAGAAGATTTACAGTGTTTACAGAGAACCAAGTTCTAGCATACATTTTGACTTAGAGTCGGACTAGGTAGGCTATGTGTCTGTCACTGACCAGCGCAAACAATTCTACCTTTGTTGCCGGTTATCTGTGATCGAATACTACAAAAAGATATGTTGCTAAGTATCTGTGACACAATTCTATCTCTATTGCCGGGGTATCTGTGACACAATTCTACCTCTGTTGCCGGGTATCTGTGACACGATTCTTCCTCTGTTGCCGGGGTATCTGTGGCACAATTCTACCTCTGTTGCCGGGTATCTGTGACACGATTCTACCTATGTTGCCGGGTATCTGTGACACAATTCTACCTCTATTGCCGGTTATCTGTGGCACAATTCTACCTATGTTGCCGGGTATCTGTGACACAATTCTACCTCTGTTGCTAGGTATCTGTAACACAATTCTACCTCTGTTGCCGGGTATCTGTGAGACAGTTCTGTCTCTGTTGCCAGGTATCTGTTGAACTGTCTCTGTTGCCAGGTATCTGTGACACAATTCTACCTCTGTTGCCGGGTATCTGTGAGACAGTTCTGTCTCTGTTGCCAGGTATCTGTGACACAACCTAAGCTTTTTACCTGATATATTTCACATAACTTTACGCACAAGTGAATAACACATTTTAATACAAATTTAGAATTATATACAGTCGAGCCAAATAACGAATTAAACTACATTAACAGCTGTTTCGTCCTTCTAGTTATCGCCTGTGATGCTGATCAATAAAGTCCTAGGTGTACCTTGGAAAATATAAGGTGAACGAAAGTAATGTCAAAATGTATGTAATTTACAACTGAAATTTGCGTCGTCTATGAAGCTCAATATAATGATTATACATTCTTATTTCACTGCTCTGACTTTAACGGCTAACATTCCAAAATACAACATTTTCAGCAGTCTACCTCTCTGCTCCGTCTACAACTGAACTGGTGTAATAAATATAGCTTTCTTATTGCTAGCAGCATCTGACCTTCGTGCACATCTACAGTTGTCAAAAGACCCACCAATCCCCTACCTTCAGTGTCTTGGTAAGAATCCTACCTTTGTGGCCTGGGTACGTGTGGAAGCAGAAGAGAGATTTGCTCGTCGCCTGTGTGGTTTTACTGTGAACGGTTCCCATGCTGTGACCGAAAGGAAGTCAGGTTTTTGGTAACCACCAGATTTTCATGTACATGTGTCATTATTCATACTCCAAATCTCGAAATATTCTGCTTTAACAGCACAAATAAGAAATCAATGAATATCTAGCTTGTCCTCTTAATAATTTATATCAATGCTACGCACAAAAAAACCAACATGGAGAATATATCGGCATTGCAGCAACAAATCCGCTTCTGTGGCATCCTAAGTTTAAGGTCACCACGATGTTTACCTCGCGATCGATGGCTTATCTTCTAGAGACTGACTATAAGTGTCGTGTGACTTATAGAACCCATAGTGTTAGTCAAATGCTTACCGTCAGCACCCGAGTCAACCTTCATTCCAAGGATCGGTGTATCTATATCCCTTGGTGTATTCCTTGGCGTCAAAACCTTTTGCTAGTGTTACTTCTAAATGGGTTTGCTCTCTTACAACCGTATACACCATTCCTAATCACTAATGGAATAGGTCTTTTCACAGGGATGAGTCAATGATGGATGTATCTCCGCCAATATCTGAATTTAATTACTAGTAGATCGTATAACAATACAGTAACAAATCCATCCGCACTTTCAATTACCGTTTTACAGCAAAACAAAGGATATTCTAAAACCAAAACATCAAAGTTATTATACGTAGAGGTAGACATTTATTTCAGGTATTTCAGGATGATGAACAAAAACAAACAAACAAACAAAAAACCAAGGAAATGGAACCATATATATTAAGTATTCATCTTTTCATAAGATCTACGCACTTCAGACAATTTGGATACCAGGAAACAAAGACGAAAGGAAACTCAAACTGTTATAACGAATATTTTACTTCCAGTTAAGAAACCACAGCCCTACGGTTAAGTTAAAGAGGTAGAGGGCAAAACTCGAGTCCTTCAGGGCACTCCTGTTACAGAAATAGAGGACAACACTCGAGTCCTTCAGGACACTCCTGTTATAGACGTAGAGGGCAACACTCAAGGCTTTCAGGGCACTCAAGCTATAGAAGAAGAGGACAACACACGAGTTCTTCCAGAAATAGAGGACAACACACAAGTCCATAAGGACACTCCAGTTATTGAGGTAGAGGACAACACACGAGTTCTTCAGGGCACTCCTGTTATAGAAGTAGAGGACAACACAAGAGTTCTTCAGGACACTCCAGTTATAGAAGTAGAGGACAACACACGAGTTCTTCATGACACTCTAGTTATTGAGGTAGAGGACAACACACGAGTTCTTCAGGGCACTCCTGTTATAGAAGTAGAGGACAACACAAGAGTTCTTCAGGACACTCCAGTTATAGAAGTAGAGGACAACACACGAGTTCTTCATGACACTCTAGTTATTGAGGTAGAGGACAACACACGAGTTCTTCAGGGCACACCTGTTATAGAAGTAGAGGACAACACACGAGTTCTTCAGGACACTCCAGTTATAGAAGTAGAGGACAACACACGAGTTCTTCATGACACTCTAGTTATAGAGGTAGAGGACAACACACGAGTTCTTCAGGACACTCCTGTTATAGAAGTAGAGGACAACACACGAGTCCTTCAGGACACTCCTGCTATAGCACGGGAGGACAACACATGGGTCGTTAAGGACAAACATGGTTCAGAAGTGGTGGAACAATAATTGAGTCGTTTAGAGTAATCAACACACACGACGATTAGAAAAATCAACACACCAGTTCAACAATACAATCAACTTATGAGTCGATTAGAACAATCAACAAACGAGTGGTTTAGATCAACAGATGAGTCATTTCGGTTAACCAACATATGAGTAGTTTAGAACAGTCAACACACGAGTCATGTAGATCAACAGACGAGTCATTCATGACAACCAACATATGAGTCGTTTAGAACAATCGACAAACGAGGGGTATTGAACCATCAACACACGAGTCGTTTAGATCAACAGATGAATCCTTCAGGACAACCAACATATGAGTCGTTTAGAACAATCAACAAACGAGGGGTATTGAACCATCAACACACGAGTCGTTTAGATCAACAGATGAGTCCTTCAGGACAACAAAAAAATAAGACTCGTTCAGAACAATAAACATGCGAGTCGTTCAGATCAACAAACGAGTTATTCATGACAATCAACATATGAGTCGTTTAGGACCGTCAACACACGAGTCGTTTAGGTCAACACACGAGTCCTACAGGACAACCAACATTTAAGTCGTTTAGAACAATAAACATGCGAGTCTTTAGAGCAACTATCAACACCTTAAGAAATCCGCGACCAATGCAGGGGGTAAAAGGTCCGAGTTGTTTAAGATAGAGGATAAACAACACGTGTCGCTTTGCTCAAATTAAATCATAACTATTGCATACATAGAGACTAAAATGTGCATTTAGTTTCGTGGACAAACTTGAGACTGCTGTCGTTCCACGGAGATTTCCACTGTTCAACAGCAGCACAACAATGACAATAGTCACCAGCAGGTCTGACATGTACATATGCTAGAAGGTACATAAATACATTGTAACATAAACTGAAGTGAAGCGACCTAACATTTTGCGGAGTAAGAAATAATCTGGCATATTCGCTGTACGTCAACTAACAATATAGAAACGCCCAGTATATCAACACAATAAAACAGACATGGGGACATTAAATAGGAGTGATGCATTCTCCTGTTACATATAGTGTGGTACAGATTACGGTGATTATGTGTTATACTTAAAAGGCCATATTTGGTGTATAATTGAGTGTGATCTGTCAACTATATCAATCGTCACCAGTTTGGGATCACATTACTGTCACGATAAGCTTCATCATTGATGATGACAGGTTACCCTTGACGTACATATCCTGAAATCAGTCATGCATGCATATGATGAACAAATATAACGTCCTTTCAGCACTGGAGACACCCTTGAAGTAATATTGCTCTAGGGTGTCTGTTTCATTTCTACACACACGTGTCTATTTTATATCATATATGTATTGTTTTTTCACTACATCTGAAAACGACCGTCTTTTGTATGTAGACACTGACACGCATTCCCTAAAGGTGATGTGCGTGTAACAGTATCAGTTTTAAAATTCTGACGATTCCGTATACAGCATTTTAACAGGCACATGTGTGAATAATGTATGAAGTATTTTTGAGAAATGCTTGAACTCGGCCTCAAGCACGCGTTCTTTTAAATACATGTGTAAGTGAAATCAGACACACGCCCTAAGTTAGTGGTATACACACGTGATTGTAATAGTACATTTAAATAATTTAATCGAAAGATAACAATAGGTTATGTGCTTGTTAGCGTTCGCGTGGTACTATAACGCCAAGGTAGTGTGTCAGATGAATGCGTGATGGTATGACAGTTAATCGATATTGAATTACTTTTTTAATTAGTTATCCGTAATTGATTTCTCTCCTGCCTGATCATAAACTCGGAATGTGGTAATGTCATCTGTCCCTCCACCGATTTACTCTCTCAACTCCGTCTTTCTATGTTTCATACACCAGCAGAGTTGTACACACGTGTAGTACATTACTACTTTTAAATCACATTGTCATGTGTGTAATGTTTTTTTTAAAAAAAAAGGCATAATCAGTTTTGTTTACTTACCGAAGTACACGGGTTTTTCACATTTGGAACATACTGTATTCATTGTAGATAATCCCAAGAATGGTAACAATCACACCATGTTTGCCGAGGAGGCTGGAATGAGCCTGGCACTGGTGTTGGAGACGTTCATCAAACCAACAATAGCCGAACCCAATCGATTCTGATCTTCACGTCTTCGATTTTCATTCCGTCCCACAGCTATATCTCTACTGCTACGTGTAGTTGGCTGGTTGTTTTGAACAGGACCTGCAGCACGCACGTTCTACCTTACAATCCTGTCACTGTGTCCTCTCCTGTAAACTATCTATGAAAAATCCCAGGTCAAATACACACAGTTCAGCTATCGAGCCCTAGTAGAATGTGTGTAATAAATTATATTGGGATTATACTAAGTACATCAGCCTATTTTTAGTATGGATAGGCCTCAGCGCTTATACAGACACGAGTTCATACTAAAACAAAACACAGGTGGATTTCACCGTCGTAACAGGACAGAACCCAATACCGAACTTCACCCTATGGTACATGAGATTTTACAGCAGATATGTCTACTTCAAATCATTGAACCGAACTAGATACATAATACTGTAGAGGACGCCGCTGGGACAAGACAATATTTGCCCAAAATAGCTAGCAATCTGACACTGAAGCACTGTGTACTCGACCGGTAGCTAAAAACTGGACGGGTACTTACCATAGAAATGTTTGGAACTCGGTCGGCATTTACTGAGTTATTTTAAATCCGAACAGTAGCCGTAACCTGAGGTAAACGTCTTTTTACACCAGGAGCGTAGCCGAGTGTTTGTTTTTTTTTTGAAACCTGGACAGTAGCCGTAATGGCTAATCTTACACCTGTGAAGACTGTAGCCGTGGGTTTCTTACACCTGAACAATAGCCGTGGGTTTCTTACACCTGAACAATAGCCGTGGGTTTCTTACACCTGAACAAGAGCCGTGAGTTATCTTACACCTGAACAATAGCGGTGGGTTTCTTACACCTGAACAATAGCGGTGGGTTATCGTACACCTGAACAATAGCCGTGGGTTTCTTACACCTGAACCATAGCCGTGGGTTATCTTACACCTGAACAATAGCCGTGGGTTTCTTACACCTGAACAATAGCCGTGGTTTTCTTACACCTGAACAATAGCCGTGGGTTTCTTACACCTGAACAAGAGCCGTGGGTTATCTTACACCTGAACCATAGCCGTGGGTTTCTTACACCTGAACAATAGCCGTGGGTTTCTTACACCTGAACAATAGCCGTGGGTTTCTTACACCTGAACAATAGCCGTGGGTTTCTTACACCTGAACAATAGCCGTGGGTTTCTTACACTGAACTGAACTGAACAATAGCCGTGGGTTTCTTACACCTGAACAATAGCCGTGGGTTTTCTTACACCTGAACAATAGCCGTGGGTTATCTTACACCTGAACAATAGCCGTGGGTTTCTTACACCTGAACAATAGCCGTGGGTTTCTTACACCTGAACAATAGCCGTGGGTTTCTTACACCTGAACAATAGCCGTGGGTTTCTTACACCTGAACAATAGCCGTGGGTTTCTACACCTACACCTGAACAATAGCCGTGGGTTTCTTACACCTGAACAAGGTTATCTTACACCTGAACAATAGCCGTGGGTTTCTTACACCTGAACAATAGCCGTGGGTTTCTTACACCTGAAAAATAGCCGTGGGTTATCTTACACCTGAACAATAGCCGTGGGTTTCTTACACCTGAACAATGGGTTTCTTACACCTAAAAAATAGCCGTGGGTTTCTTACACCTGAACAATAGCCGTGGGTTTCTTACACCTGAACAAGAGCCTGAACCTGAACAATAGCCGTGGGTTTCTTACACCTGAACAAGAGCCGTTTGTTATCTTACACCTGAACCATAGCCGTGGTTTTCTTACAGCTGAACAATAGCCTTGTGTTATCTTACACCTGAACAATAGCCGTGGGTTTCTTACACCTGAACTTACACCTGAACAATAGCCGTGGGTTTCTTACACCTGAACAAGAGCCGTGGGTTTCTTACACCTGAACAAGAGCCGTGGGTTTCTTACACCTGAACAATAGCCGTGGGTTTCTTACACCTGAACAATAGCCGTGGGTTTCTTACACCTGAACAATAGCCGTGGGTTATCGTACACCTGAACAATAGCCGTGGGTTATCTTACACCTGAGCAAGAGCCGTGGGTTTCTTACACCTGAACAAGAGCCGTGGGTTTCTTACACCTGAACAAGAGCCGTGGGTTATCGTACACCTGAACAATAGCCGTGGGTTATCTTACACCTGAACAATAGCCGTGGGTTTCTTACACCTGAACAAGAGCCGTGGGTTATCTTACACCTGAACCATAGCCGTGGGTTTCTTACACCTGAACAATAGCCGTGGGTTATCTTACACCTGAACAATAGCCGTGGGTTTCTTACACCTGAACAAGAGCCGTGGGTTATCTTACACCTGAACAATAGCCGTGGGTTTCTTACACCTGAACAAGAGCCGTGGGTTTCTTACACCTAAAAAATAGCCGTGGGTTATCTTACACCTGAACAAGAGCCGTGGGTTATCTTATACCTGAACAATAGCCGTGGGTTTCTTACACCTGAACAAGAGCCGTGGGTTTCTTACACCTAAAAAATAGCCGTGGATTATCTTACACCTGAACAAGAGCCTTGGGTTTCTTACACCTGAACAAGAGCCGTGGGTTATCGTACACCTGAACAATAGCCGTGGGTTATCTTACACCTGAACAATAGCCGTGGGTTTCTTACACCTGAACAATAGTCGTGGGTTATCTTACACCTGAACAATAGCCGTGGGTTTCTTACACCTGAACAAGAGCCGTGGGTTATCTTACACCTGAACAATAGCCGTGGGTTTCTTACACCTGAACAAGAGCCGTGGGTTTCTTACACCTGAACAAGAGCCGTGGGTTTCTTACACCTGAACAATAGCCGTGGGTTTCTTACACCTGAACAATAGCCGTGGGTTTCTTACACCTGAACAATAGCCGTGGGTTATCGTACACCTGAACAATAGCCGTGGGTTATCTTACACCTGAACAATAGCCGTGGGTTGTCTTACACCTGAACAATAGCCGTGGGTTATCGTACACCTGAACAATAGCCGTGGGTTATCTTACACCTGAACAATAGCCGTGGGTTTCTTACACCTGAACAATAGCCGTGGGTTATCTTACACCTGAACAATAGCCGTGGGTTTCTTACACCTGAACAATAGTCGTGGGTTATCTTATACCTAAAGTAGCCGTGGGTTATCGTTCACCTGAACAATAGCATTGGGTTATCTTACACCCAAACAATAGTCGTGGGTTTCTTGCACCTGAACATGTGCCGAGGGTTATTATACACCTGGGCGGTAGCCATGGGTTATCTTACTTCTGAACAAGTGCCAAGGGTTATCATACAGTTTGGCGGTTTGCAGTGGGTTATCTTACACCTTAACAACAGCCGTGGATTATCTCACACCTAAACAACAGTCGTGAGTTTTCTTACACCTGAACAATAGCCATGGGTTATCTTACACCCAAATAATAGCCGTGGGTTATCGTACACCTGAACAATAGCCTTGGGTTATCGCTCCCCTGAACAATAGCCTTGGGTTATCTTACACCCAAACAATAGCCGTGGGTTTCTTACACCTGAACATGTGCCGAGGGTTATTATACTGTTGGGCGGTTTGCCGTGGGTTATCTTACAGCTGAACAATAGTCATGGTTAATATTGCACCGATACAGTAACTATGGGTTTGTAATACACGTGGACAGTAGCCGTGGGTTATCTTACACCTAGACAGCGAGTATGGGATGTTATACACATGGATAGTAGCTGTGTGGGTAGAAGCCGTGGGTTATCTTATACCTGGGTAGTAGCCGTTATACTGGGTAGTAGCCGTGGGTTATCTTATACCCGGGTGGTAGCCGTTGGTTATCTTATAACCGGGTAGTAGCCGTTGGTTATCTTACACCTGGGTAGTAGCCGTGGGTTATCTTATACCCGGGTAGTAGCCATGGGTTATCTTACACCTGGGTAGTAGCCGTTGGTTATCTTACACCTGGGAAGAAGCCGTGGGTTTATCTTACACCCGGGTAGTAGCCGTGGGTTATCTTATACCCGGGTAGTAGCCGTGGGTTATCTTATACCCGGGTAGTAGCCGTGGGTTATCTTATACATGGGAAGTAGCCGTGGCTAATCTTATACCCGGGTAGTAGCCGTGGGTTATCTTATACCCGGGTAGTAGCCGTGGGTTATCTTATACCCGGGTAGTAGCCGTGGGTTTCTTACACCTGGGTAGTAGCCGTGGGTTATCTTACAAATGAACAATATAGCTGTTGGTTTTCTACACATAGACAGTAACTATGGATTATCCTATACGTGGACAGTAGCTGTGTGTTATCTTACACATGGGCAAGTAGCCATTATCTTACACCTAGAGAGTTGCCTTGGGTTTTCTTACGCCAAGACGGTATATGTGGGTACAGGCGCAGCCTACTCATATTAACTATAACCCTGGTATAACAAACTATCAATACCATTTGGTGAAAATGTTCCCAATATCATTATAGCTTATATCGGATTGCGGCCAATTCTCACCGACTCCAGTAACAATATCAGAGAGATACCCTGATACATATTCGGGATTACCACACCGATGCCTCTCATTTCTATGATTAGTGTAGAAAGTTCACAATGTCTCGAAATGAACCTCTCTTTTTTCACTTGCTTCTTCTTAAAATGCATCATAGTTGCTATTGTAGATTTAGTATTAACTCCTGTCAATTTCTCCTAGAATAATAGAAAGAGGTAGATAAAAATTAAACAACACATCGTTATTTCAGAAAATCCGAAAAAATGTCAGGATTCAAGGGAGATAACTCGAACACACATGCGCACACAATAGTGGCACAAAACTGTACTCGCCAATATTGCACATATATATGAAGAAGGCAAACTTTGTAAAAACCTGGCTTATGAAAAAAAAAAAACAAACAAGAATCTTGAAATATTTGTCG